TAGAAATAGATAAAAAGCTCCATTGAAAGACTCCAGTGCACAGAGAGTCAGGTGTGAGGAGGTTTAAGCCAAGCCAGCCAAAGCGCTTCTCTTAGGAGCGCGAAGGTTTAAGTGGCTCCTTTCCTGCAGCGAACAAGAAGTGTATCAAGAGTTTAGACTGGATGTTTGGCTGCTTTGATGGTGAAAGCTCTGCCAGTGCTGCGTTTGAAGCTCAAGTGGGCTGTTGAGGCAGCGTGGTAAGTGTGGTATAAGCAAGATGCCTGAAAATGTTCCTTTCCTCTGGAAACGTCATCCTGCTAACCTAAGAGGGAACAGCCTGTGGAATCCGTACCATTAAAAACACTCCCTGTCAGCAGATGACTAGATAAAATTACAGCTTTGGAGGAAAATGTGTGTTCTAGCTTACAAGCAAGTTGTCATGTCTTTGTGAGGCCAAGTGGCGTGTGGGCTTCTTGTGGCTTGGAGGTGTGGCTTCTTAGCCAGGCTTCCAGACTCATCCCTGCTCAGTGAGTCAGTTGCTTTAAACACATTTCCTGATTTAGTGCTAGGTCGAGCTGCATCTGGCACTGCTGTAGCTGTACGTACCTATAAAAATAGAAGGGCATAATTTGCTAGAAGTGTTGGATGTGGGAGTGAAGGGAGCAAGACGTCCTTGGAATTGCAGGAATTTTTTGAGAAGTCAGTTCTTCTTGGCAGGCTGGAAATTGGTTGTAACAAATAGCAGGGATGTTGCAACATGTTGCCCATTTCATGACCTTTTTATGTCCAAGGAATTTGGCATTTCTGAGGGTTTCTCTGTCTGCTGTCACTTCTGCATTAACGTGATGTTTCAAAACTGAAGGAGAGTTCAGAGGCTCTTAACAAGGGAAGTGCTGCCAACTAGCTGGGAGCATTCTAAACATCTCGGCTGAAATGGCTCACAGATGGAGGTAAGTTTGTGATGGAACGTAGGTGAAAATAACATGTCATACTTGATCGAGACGTCTATTATTCTGTGTATTGTTGGCCACCAGACAGAGCTCTTCAAAGTTACTTTTTTCACTGAAGGCTCAAGGAGTTGAGGAAATAGAAGTGGAAGAAGAAGACTTTATTGGTCAGTCATGTGTAACAGATGAACATAATGGGAAAAAATATTAATTTGCTTTATTTTTTCAAGTTACCTTCAGCTTAGTGTTGGAAATCATAATGTAAGTTAGCAGGAATAACATGCTGCTGTGGTCAGGGTTTTGGGACGAAGCAGGATTACTTGGTAAGGTAACCATTTGAAGGGGTAGTTATCTGACGTTGCTAAGGCATAAATAAATGAGGGTGATTTATGAATAAATAATAGGGGAGCTTCTGCACTAGTAAGGTAGTTGAAATAATGTTTGCAGCAGCATTTAGAACCAGGCTTCCCAAGAGCAAACGTGTCCTCTAAGGGTTTTGGCTTAGAGAAGCTGTATTAGGTTGTTGGGTCCCTGAACTTCTGTTTGTATCGAGGAGTGTATGACCGTGCATGCAGTTAACTGGCTTCACATATGGTGACCTGCGTAAATGCATAGAATTCTGATAATTTATTGCCAAAATTGCAGATATTTCCATAGCACGCGACGACTAGCAGCCTGCAGTTATCCTAATGACCTTTCCTTTTGGATGCCTGCCTGCTTTTTGTGTGAGACCATTTCCTGCTGTCTTAGGATTGCTGTGCTGAATTTGAGACGTAGCGATCAGAAAGGCAGTGGAGGCAAATATGGAATGGCTTATTGAGAACAGCCAATGAGACCAAACCATTGTGTATTCTGCCGTTACAGCTTTTGCCAGCTTATGGGAAGAAACACCCTGTTTTTGGGAAAGGGATAGCAGGGATCAAGCGATGCCTAATGATTTTCCAGTGTGTTGTGCATTCTCTCTCTCGGTGACCACAGGAGATCTCTGCTGAGTGTTCAGCAGATCTGCAATGCCTTGGTTTGTTACTGGGCAAGCTCACGATCTGGGGTGGAAACGGTGTGAAATCCTAGCCAGAGTTTTCTCAAGATTATTTTCTTTAGGGAGTTCTTTTGCCATGCTTTCCTCGTGCCTCATTCTCGAACACTCATTCCTTCTCTTGGCTTACTCTTTTTGCTAAAATCTAAACAGTTTCCTGGTTTAGTTATTTCATAATCTTTTCCCAGTTAGTTCTTTGTTGGCTTCTATACCATCTTCTCATCCCCAAGAAAGATTTTTCTGCTGAAGGTGTAAGTGGGATGCTGGCCTTTGTGATCAGAATCCTTGTGGGAAGTGCTCCCTCTGTCTGGATACAGCTTTCCTCATCACGCTCGCTCGGGGAGTTCCGCTCACCCAGTAGTAGTCCCTATAATGAGCTTGTAGATCGTGCCTCGGGCAACTGCACCAGGCCAGTTACAGCAGTGGAGTTTTTCAGTTTCAAACCTTTGGTTTGCTTTTCGTGACAGTATTAGGAGTTGGTTTCCCTCATTGTCTAGGTGTGACGGAGTAAGAACAAAATCTTGTGAGCAAGTTAGGAAGTGCTGCGCTTGTCTTCAGCATGTGCCGTTCTTCTTGCACTTACGCTGACGCGCGTGGAAAGGTAACGATACCAGCCTCGCTTGCTCGTCGCTTGTTGTGAATATTACCTTGCGTCAGCCCTGTCTGTGCAGCCATCTACCAAAGCGATTGCCAGGTGTTTTAAGTTGTATTTTTACCCCCTGTGTTGGCATAGTGGCTATAAAGCGGGTATGTTCCTGAAGAGGAAAACTCGGGTGTCTTAAGTGGTCAGTGAAAAGATTTGGGTTTTTGTTTGGTGGGTTTTTTTCAGTTGCTTTTTCTTAAGAGTTGGTTTGAATCTCGCCTGGCAACAACTGCAGGTGGCTGGAGGGGTGGGAGGTGAAGGGAACTCCCTGAGCCACAAAAGCTTCTACTCCCACTGGGAGGCAATTATTTTATTTAAGATTTGAATCTGGTATCCTTGCTTAGGGTGAAATGCAAATGACTGGGTCGATGTTAGAAGTGTCCTGTAAAAGAATATATGGGAGCCATATGATTCCTCGTCCTCCTCCTGGCTCTCGGTTGCATTTAGTAGCTGACTGCATTAGTGTTTTTCGGGTATCTGTGTGAATGTACGTGCCCCGTTCAACTATATCGTCCCACGGTCTCCGTTAGTCCGGCCGAGTGCTTCTTCCGAGGGTTAGAAAAGGGGATTACTGCGGAGGCCTGCGGGAGGGGGAGGATGCTGCTGCTCCTTTGTAGCAAGGGAGAGTCAGCGTAGGAGCAGGACCATGTAAATCTCTAACCAGCCGGACTTGTGGGATCTGTTCAATACCCAAAGATGCACCTGCAAAGATGTTGTTACCTACGCAAAAGAATTTGGGGAACTCATCGTGTATCTCCAGTTCCATTACGTTTTCTTCTTCCATTGCTCTTGTTCAGGCTTAAACGGAGACTTAATGAACTGTCAGGCAGTTTTGTCGTGTGCTTGGCAAATGACATGTTCTCGATCACCTGCCGTTATGTGTTTTGGAAAGAAGAATTTTTGTTGGGTTGTTTGGTGCATGCTGTGTCTCTGCTAGCACTGTTGGCGTTCGGGATTGTAGAAACGAGTGATCTGCTGCATTAATTTTCTGTGATGCCTGCAGTGTGGCGTGGTGGGGAATATGAGGTGCAGAATTAGGTTTCTCAGAGCGCTTCGGTGTGACAGTGTAGCTACACTAGCGTTGTCCCGAAGAAAAGCTACAACCCTTGCGTGTTCAAACATGCAGTTGAAATATTGTAGTGAGCTGGGGAGAACCCTTACGCCCCACTAAGAAAAATTTCTGTTCGGCCCGGTAGAGTGATGGCGATAAATTGGCTAAGTCTTTTATGTAAAGAAATGAGACCCAGATAACGTTTGTAATGAAAATTCTGCTGTCTGGGTTTTGCATCTTGCCGCTTTCTATCATTGGAATTCAGAGCTTAGTTTTCCTTTTCTGACAGAAATCTTTTCTCAGCTCATACACTAAAACATTCACAAATGTTGGCTCATTTGACATTTTTCTGCAAATATTTAATTCTACATGTCATGTTTCTGACATGTTAGGTCTTGATATGCCATCCAGGCTCACTGCCATCATTTAAAAATCAAATGTCTAAACTTTTTTTCTAAGTCAGTCTGTGTTTTTCAAACAAAATTATAGGTAAGACAAGTATTTATATGGAAGTGGTAAAAGTTGTCATCCTTATTTCTTGTCTAACTGGTGGAGTGAGAGGTCTGTATGCTGTAAACGTGAGGAAAAAGACATAGAAGGTCTGTGGAAAATGTGGGTTTGTATCAGTCTTCAGCTACAATGTGTATGTATTTTTGAGAAACTGTATTTTAAAAACTAAGTCCCTAAACAGTCCTGGATACTGGAAAAGTTATTTTATGTCCGTCGCTGAGATAATACTCTGAATTGTTTAGGCCTGCAGAAAGTATGCTTTCCTAAATAACAGCAGCTTGGTTTTGAGGAATTAGCAGTAACTACTTAACGTATCATACCTGATTTGAACAGGCAGAGAGGTATGAACAGGCTGTCCTGACCTTCTTATCACACTTGTGCAGGTGTGATGACATCTCAGGTCTCATGAAGGTGGATGTTAGAAAAAGAACAGGGGTTCTGCTGTTAAATAAATAGTATCTTTAATCACCATGACGAGCTTCATGACTGTTCAGAGTAAAGAAGGCTTCTATTTGGCTGTCCAGATTCTAGGGACGGAAGTGCTTTTTGTGTCATGTAGACCATGATTCAGTTTGCGGAGGGAGGGGAGTCTGAGCGTTCCCAATTGTCCGACTGGCTTAGCAGTAAGGTCGGCAGATGAGAAGGCAGGGTAGTGGACAATCTTTAAGTTCTTTAAAAGAACAAATCAAAGCACCTGTGTCTGTTGCATCCAAGTTTTTTTGACATGAAAATATGGGAGTGGGGGAAGTATGTAACGCTAATCCTGTGCTTACGTGTGACTTGTCGGCTCTTTTCTTTTTCCCTTTCCTTTCTGCAAGTTCTCTAAATATTTCCTCTCCCTTTTGCAGTGGTAGTCGCTCTTCCAAAACCTTCAAACCAAAGAAGAACATTCCAGAAGGGTCTCATCAGTACGAGCTGCTAAAACATGCCGAAGCCACGCTGGGAAGCGGTAATCTCCGGATGGCCGTTATGCTTCCAGAGGGTGAAGACTTAAATGAATGGGTTGCAGTTAACAGTAAGTCAGCTAACATTTTTTTTCATAAGGGGGTTTTTGAATGTGGGCTGACATTTGTGGGAGGACAACTGTGTACTCCTTTCTGGTGCGGTAGGCTCTTCTGTCCTCCACGCGCCGCTCTGCTGTGGTTGGGAGAGGTGAATGTCGCATCGTTTAGAGCTGACGGATGCAGAGCGTCTCACTGAGACAAAACCTCCTTAATCGCCTTGCGCCGAAAATACCTTCCTGTTAACAAAATAATTTTTATTCTTAGTGGTTAAAGTCAGAGCACTTGATGACAAACAAGTGCTGAAGTAGAAATGTCACTGCTTTTTTTAGGAAGTAGCCTGTCAGTGCCCTCTTAATATGTTTAATCTAGCTCTTCTTCGGCTAGGTTTGTTACCCAGTGGTACAGTCAAGCCTCTACATGCTACGCGTAAAACCTTAATTTAGTTAAGCGTGAGGGCCAGGTCTAAAAGATGCCGAAGACTACAGCCACGTGTATGGCCTGGCTTTCCTTTTGCCTGTAACAAACCTAGAGATGGATCTTTGCAATTTTTCCGAAAGTTAGTTCCTTCCTTTTTTTCTGACAAAGCGTTGAGCCTTTGCTCTGGTAAATCCCTGACCTGATTACTTTAACTTCCTCTAAAGCTATTTGTCCTAGCTCTCTCCTTTCAAGCTAGCTCAGCCCGAACAATGATGCCCAAATTAGTGTTTTCCGATTGCTTGACCATGTTCCTCCTCCTTCCTTTCCCTGCTGCATGGCTTTGCTGCCTGCCTTCTGCGCTTGAAGAATGGATTAACCGCAGTCCTGTCATGCTCCTTAGCCCATGCAGAGTTTTGGCTGCCACAGACTTTGTGCCATGCCTGGCTATTACCTCATCTCTTGTGTCTTTGGCTTGGTGTGCTTCTGTGATTGTACGGTAGTGATTGTGCGCTGTAGTGCGCTATAAATTATGCTCAAGATAAACGTTTTGTAACTTTTTATGTGGTTCTGCCTGTTTCTTCTTGCTCTTTGACATGTTTGGGCAGTGAAACTTCAACCTTCCGGTTCTTAATTACCCCCACGGTGCTCTGGAATATGACTTGCTAGAGCATCCAGGGAATGTTGAAATTGCTGACACAATTCTTGATAAATACAGCTTATTCACACTGTATTGCAAAACTGTCTAGAAAAAAAGCCAGCCCATTTTTATGAATAAGCATTACTAAAGATGCTTCATAGATGGCTGGCATAGTTCCCTTTTGGTGGTTTCTGTGCTCCATGTCTCTTCTTTCCTGTGTGGCAGCAGTGTTTTTCCTTTCCCAAATGACTTAACTGCTAAATTAGCTGGGTGCCAAAAGGCAGCCAGACTACTTGGCAAAAGAGGGGGAGCTGTCTTGTGGTACCTGCTGCATTCTGTAATGACACGGTCCTTTTCTGTGCATCCTGCCGCCAAGTGGATTTTTAATGGTTAATTGTTTTGTCTAGAAGTGATTAACAGATTACGTGCTCGCTTCATTTACAGCATTCCTCTACCACACCTAGTACCAGTTCATGGTAGCTGTGAGCCCCTTGTATTGGTTGAGATATCTAATAAGGAAATAAAACGTGTGGCTTAATGTCGTTGCTTTTGCTCTTCACAATAGTGGCAGCGTAGGAACAAACAGGTTTTGCGCTTCTACTTCTTGCTCACCTCTTAGCCTTACTGATGTCTTGTTGTCATGAGTTGATGTATGTGTAGATTGTTCAAATATGTTTCCAAAATGAAAAAGGGTACTAAATCAGTTAGGTCTGAGTTTCATGTGATACCTCCTTGATTGGAAAATGCTACAAAGTAATTTCAGAAGTACATTTTGCCTCTATCTTTGTAATAGAACAGCAGACAGTGTGCACCTCTTCTAGTAGAAAAGCACTTGGAAAAAATAACCTAAGCCCTCAAAACTTAAGAACAATGAGTAAAAAGAGGAAATGCAAATATGCAGGCACACGGTACAGCTCTACATGTGTTGGAAAGGAGATTCTTGCTTTTTTCTTGCTTGTCGCACGCTGCTGGCTTTGGTGCATGGGTGGTATGTCTCATGGCCTTTTGAGACTTGCACGTGTGGGACTCACAATAATTAGTCATCTTGTCGAAGTCTGTGTGGGTCTTTTGAACATGCTTGCCTTAAAGCAAACATGGGGCTGCGGTTACTACTGGGAGCAGGGAATGGAAACTTAATGAACAGTTCTTCTGTACCCTTAAGAAACAGGGGCGGTATCTAACCACTCCTGGCTGCCTTTGGTGTTAACAGCCTTCTCCCCTGGCCCAAACAAGTGTTAGGGGCCCTCCTGCTCCTGTGTAACTTTTTTATCAACCTTTCCCAGTGTTGTATTCCTATTTTATGCTGTTGCTCTGTGGGGGGCGAGGGCAGAAGATTTTTAGCTGGAGGTGAACTGTGCTAGGTGCATGCCATACCAGTTGTTTGCTTCCCTTTTTTGATACCTGGCAAGTTGCATGACACAGTTGTAGCTCATATCCTGCATCTGCTGAACAGTAGCTGTAACTCGCTGCTATGATGTTCGTGTAATCTTTGATGTTCATTCGCTGCAAAAGTCAGTGAGGGGAGCTGCAGTATTTAATCCTCCCTTTCCATCAGCCATCAGTTACTTTCACAGTGCCTGGTATCTGCTGGTGCTTATGTTTAGGATGTCAATCTCTGTTTCATTACAGCAAAACTGTGTATCTTTGTAAAAGGTTAAGCAAGGAACACAAATTTGGCCAGGCTACGAAGGCAGACGCTGGCTTCTCTTTGGCATGGCACCAGATTGAGAGGAGTGGATTGTTGGTGTTCATTCCACACTGTCCTGCAGATGGTTGTGTGAAACTCTTCAGTGTTGCAAGTGGTAACTTGCAATAAAGAAACAGCTTGTCACAGTAAATTTTAAGTGATGGTGAGCCCAGGCAGACTGCACAGTGGTTCCTCATCCTGAGGAGTAGCTCCGCAGTTGTGATTCCTAAGTGAGGTTTCTGACTGTAAAGGCTCCTGTTGTCAGAGGTGGCAGGCCCAATGCTCTTAGCGGTAGAAGCGATGTAGCCTGGACTGGGCACTGGGGCATTATATCCATTTATATGTTATATAGGGTTCTTTTCTGGGTAAGAGCGTGTTGCTGGAATAGTTAAATTGGCAAAGCACTGGGGTTATATAGGGGTTGAATGCCACTACACTTGATCTGGGTTTTTATACGATTGCTGAATTTCATCCATGCATAAACATGGATGAATAAGGACGCCATTAAGTTCCCGTATGTGTGTACTTATGTGGGTTCATCCAGAAGCAGAATTTACAGTAACTGTTGCCGGGTGAGGGAGACAGGAATGTGTAGTAAATATGTTATTCTTGAACCACATCTGCACTTAGTTAGTTGTAAGAATTTAACCCAGCCTACTTAAAATTTTATTTTCTAGTGCTTAATATTGGTCACTTTTTGATTTTTACTCATGACATCCACTGTCTGAAAGACATTTTGAAAACATAACCTTAGGTATTGATACTTCGGTGGTGTGCTTTAATCGGGCAGGCAGCTAAACACCACACAGCCGTTTGCTCACTCCCTGCCCCAGTGGGATGGGGGAGAGAATCAGGGCAAAAACAAAAAAGTTAAGTTCATGGGTTGTGATAAAGATAGTTTAATAGCACAGAAAAGGAAGGTGGGGGGCGGAACCAAACAAAACCCAAGTAAGTGATGCTCAATGCAGTTCGTCACCACCCACTGACAGCTGCCCAGCCAGTTGCCGAGTAGCGGCCCCCGGCCAGCTTTCCCCCTGGTTTATGTGCTGAGCGTGATGTCCTGTCGTCTGGAATATCCCCTTGGCTGGTCTGGGTCAGCTGTCCCAGCTGTGCCCCCTCCCAGCTTCTTGTGCCCCCCAGCCTCCTCAATGGCAAGGCCCTGTGAGAAGCTGCAGAGTTTTTCACTTAGCGTAAACACTGCTTAGCAACAACTAAAACATAGGTGTGATACCAACATTATTCTCATTCTAAGTCCAAAACAGAGCCCTATACCAGCTGCTAGGAATAAAATTAACTCTGTCCTGCCTGAAACCAAGCCACTTGCTTATGTGCTGCGCTCCTCAGAAGATGCAAGGGGGGCCATTCATCGAGGGGGGATAAAGTGAATTTTATAAACCGATTACAGTAACCACAGTTCCTAAGAACAGAACCTGCTGTAAGGTTATCGAAGAAGCGTCTTGCTTTCAAAGAGTTTTAAATAATCAAGCACCTATTTCAAGGAGTAAGAACTATAGGAACATTTAGATGTGCTCTCTTTTGGTCTATCATTTCAGTAATTCAACTGCAGACCAATTAAAAAAAAAAAAAAAAAGCTTTGTTTAAGAGAACTACTTTCCCAAACATGTAACAAAACGTATGCGATAACACCCAGCAGAAAGAAACTCCAAGGATAGTTTATAACAAGGAAACATTGTGGACTAAATATTAATTTGTAGTAATGAATTGATTATCTAAGGCACAGGAGTTGCTGGGCAGTGCAACTGTTCCTATGTCATGACTTCTGTACCCACTTCCCATCCAGGCAGTGTCTGACCATAGCATAACTGGAAGAGGGTAGATTTACACTGGATATAAGGAAACAATTCTTTACTGTGAGGGTGGTGCGACACTGGCACAGGCTGTCCAGAAAAGTTGCGGATGCCCCATCCCTGGAAGTGTTCAAGGTCAGGTTGGATGGGACCTTAAGCAACCCCGTCTCGTGGAAAGTGTCTGTGCTCATGGCCCGGGGGGGGGTTGGACTAGATGATCTTTAAAGGTACATTCTGACCCAAACTCTTCTGTGATTCTGTGAAGTGTTCTTTGAGGAGACAGTCCTTTGGGATACAAAGCCCAAGGGGAGTCAGTGTCACCTGATAAGTAACAGCTCACTCTCTAGTTGGAAACTTTACACTGAAAATCTTTGTTTTATTCCAGACTTGGCAGTAGAATTTGTGATTCTAATAAAATGCACCAAACTTTCAGAAAAGGCAATAATCCAGCTTTCTTTTTCCCTTTTCTTCTTTCAAATGACAGTTTTGCTGCAGCGAACAATGAAGTAATTATTGCCAGAGGCTGTTTTACAAAGTTGGTGGTTGCATTCTGCATCTCTTTCATAATACATCTTAAGAAAGCAGTAATAATGAGTTTTTTTTCCAGAAAATATTCCAGGACCTTCCTCAGCGGTGTGTACTTTACAGTTAAGGCTGTAGGAAGCTTGTGTTACTGTTGCATTGCAGAGTGTTAATTGATGGCTTAAATTCTTTTCAGCTGTTGACTTCTTCAACCAGATCAATATGCTTTATGGAACCATTACAGACTTCTGCACAGAGGAGAGCTGCCCTGTGATGTCTGCTGGCCCAAAGTAAGATTATTTTTTATGCTTTGTTGAGAGCGTGCAATTTTTGAAATGATTTTGCATTTGAAAACATGAGACCAGCTCAGTTGAGTGCCAAAGATAAGGTAGCTTCTGTATGTGGGAAGTGTGTCTTCTCTTGTTATCCGTGCAGGGGAAAAAAATTTTGAAGCTTTGCTAAGGCAGTGGGGGGTGGAAAGATGGGGTTTTTTGTTTGTTGTGTGTTTTTATTGTTAGCATTTTATTTTTTTCTTTAGCCTGAGAAAGAAAAACTTGGTTGTTGGTTTTTTTTTTAATGTTAATGAGGTCTTCTTAAATTAAGATTGGAAGTTTTTTATATGCAAGTGTTCAGTTAGGGCTTACGAAAATCTTTCTTTTAGGCTAAACTTGACTACAGTTTTGAGTAGTCTGAATAGGAATCCCCTACCCTGTCCCTCAGTTAAGTTTTGCTTCTTAGATTTTTGCTTAGGCTTTTGTACAGACATCCCACGTTTGTGTTTTTGCTTGCTCTCCGCCTGATTAGCGTGTTCTAAAGAGACAAATACCTGCATTTCTAAGCCGGTGGTGAGGGAGGGCACTGCTTCTTTTTAAATGACTGAAAAATCTTAAACAAACAATGAAGAAAAACAGTCCTCTCCTTCACTTCCTCCTCCTTTATAATGACATGTGTTGCTATTGTCTGAAGCTGGTAATGGCCAGACGGTGTGGTGGAGAGCTGGGGCTGTGCAGCAGGGAGAGCAGGAGCTCGGCAAGGCAAAAGCAGCCAGGCGGCCCGAGGACAGCTTTGGCGCTACGTTCTTCAGCTAAAAATGGACGCTGCCGAATACCAAAAGCAGTGTGGGCAGGCAGACCTGCTGCTGCAAAGCGGGGAGGGGTGAAAATACAAAAGGAATAGAAGTTTACCATTATGCAGAAGAACTTCGGGATAAGTTTGTGCAATAACGTAGCCCGTTGTCTGCTTTGTGCTTTGGCATGCAGAACAGACTCTTATTCATTAAATAAGAGCATGAAAATATTTCTTTGCTTTATTGTTTGTCTTCTGAGAAGCAGTTATTTGGGGGTGGAAGTTAATTATTAAAGGATTAGTTGTCTGGTTGCTAGACGAAACAATTTATTTCTCTCCCAAGAGATGGATAGCCATTGACAGAAATACATGTTGTACTCAAATATTGTTATGAAGCAGGGTAGAAGAGACGTGCTAGAGGCTAGAAGATGCATTCTGCCAAGGTTTTAATCGGGCGATCTTGTCCTTAGGATTTGTAGAGCATTGCCCGAACTCTGCAGCCCCTGCCTGTGCTCAGGGATGGGTTTTGCGAAAGGATCAGAAGCGTGTGTGCACGTGAGGGGCGGAGGCCAGGCAGGCACAGGATCGGGTGATGTGTGAGGCTGATGGTGACCCACAGCGGAGGATATACGGTGTTTTTCTTAGTTTGAGCAAGCGTGGCTTGCTTTCAGTCAAAAGGTGGCCTGCAAAATTTTTTTCAGGGAAGTACTGCTGGAAAACCTGTCAGCATGAAAGCACTGGTATTTACAGACATTTTCCTCTGTTTCTTATCTCCGTTTCCTCTTTATCTTCTGGCTCAGGCTGTATTAGTTGAAGAGGCATTGAGTCTGAGGTGCTCATTAGTGTTTCTAGGCTGAAGGTTGCTGTCTCCTCACACCTATGGCTAAGCTACCACCAGTATTGCATCCTCATCTCTTTCAGACAAAAGAGTATGACTTAGCTGAAACAACTTAACGTGAGGTCATTTGAAACAGCTTAGGCAGCCATAGCACGAGTAGCTGGAGAGAACTAAAAGCAGCAAGCGCTCTGTGGCTCTAAAGTCTGATTTTTGCTTTCTCCCTTGAAAAATACTGATGGTCGGTACATTAAGAAGGCTTGTACGGTGCTGGTGCGTACATCCCTAGATATTTAGAACTCGCTGTTGCTCGGTTGCAGTTTTTGTAGCATGACTGACAAACTTAGAGCAGTCTATGGAAAAACTAAACCAGATGTCTCAAGTGAGACGGTAACCAGAGCAGAAATGTGTTGTTTCCTGAATCCACTGCCAGGTACTGGTGTTTTGTCTTTAAAACCCCTCTAAAAGGGGAAAAAAAGTTGTCCCTTGGTAACAGACAGGTCACCTAGGTTTGTGTCTGTTTTTTTGTGTTTTATTTTTGATGCAGGGAAGGTTATCTTCTCTAAAGGGCTACCTTTAAGCCAATGCTTGGGGCTGTATGACTACTCCTTTGGCCCACTGGTTCTATTTGGTAGCGTCCTTAACAGAAGGGCTTAGCTGGGGCAGGTAAATTTTTGTGTGCTGTGGGATCACTTTAATTTCTTCTGGATTTGTCTTTCTTGGAAAGATTGCTGACTTAGCTTTTATCAGCGTGTTAGTACATTGCATTAGTTAAGGATTGACGTCAAGATCAAGAACGGAGCTCCTTCTTCTGCTTTACAGTCCGTTGTCTAACAGCTCAAAAAAAGTATTGGTTTAATCTGTACCAAAACATATGATAATTCACTGTAATGTTCCACTTTTTACACTTCAGCAAAGACCAACTGTTTCTTACCCAGACAAACCCTAGCTGGTTATCACTTGTTGCTGTTCTTAGATCAGTTGCAGTATCACCATCAGTGCAACAGGCATGATAAGAGCTTAAGAACCTGCATAGTAGTTATATGGGTCATAACCAGCATTGGGTGAGGGGAGTTTTTTTTGTTTTCATCCGTGGCTGCAAGTCCTCAATAAGAGCGCAAAGGAGGGACATGGCTGCTGCGTTTTTCAGAGCTGGTTGTCTGAACTGGGGCTCTGAAAATCCCTGTTCAGGCCTTTGTGTGAGCGCACTAAACTCTCTCTTAATGGCTGTGAGATCCTTCTGATTTTCCTGAGGTTTGTTGGTCCGCAGTGCTTCTGTCTTCAAATGTTCAAATCAGAGTAGCTGGGCACTGCAAAGTGGACAGCTCCCATAAATCCGACATGGGCGTAGTACGGTGCAGCTAACCGTTCGCATGCTGCCTTCTGCCCGGTGTGTCTGCGGCAAAAAAAAAAAGAATAAATCACGTAATCAGGTCCTTGAAATACCCTGTGTCTCTTAGCGATACCAGTCCTTTTCCCTTTTTGTGATGCTCCACGCTGTGTCTGTGTCACTTGATGGCCGAGGGACAAAACAAAGTACTTTTCAGCAGTCTTGATGTGATATGATTTTGCTGGGATTTAGAGGCGATAGGTCCAAATAAATGTCCGAGAATCTTTTGAAAGGCATTACCGAGTCGCTGCATTTTATTGCTGTTGGACAAGATAGCAGCTTTAGTTTTAGTCAAGCTGTTTTTTGGGTTTTTTTGGTGGTCGTTTTCCTTTTAGGCCATGTATGTGTAGGTAAAGGAGCTGGTCCTATGATTGTTTATTCTTAGGGCTATTTTCTACTGTGAGAAGCGTAGTTGGGTTTTCTGTTTATAGGTGGCAAGTAAGTTGGGTTTATCAGTTTGAGAGAATTCTACCGGAGTCATTAAGGATTATTAGCTTTTCTCCTGAGCTTGCCAAAGTGAACTGTATGTTTCTTGCTCTGTCAGTCACATACTGTTTTGCCCTTAAAAAAAACCTCTACTGAACTGTAGAGGTTTCTAAAGGTGTATTTTCTGTAGAGGAACTGCCTATGGCAATAAGGTTAATTTGTTTCTATCACCAGAGCTGCAGGTGTTCACTCACAAGCTTGAGCTATAATGTGATTTTTTCTTTTTTTTTTTTTTACCCTTCATTTCCTGTACTAGTTGAAATGATTCTAATGTATTGGAATTTTTGTGTGTTCGTTTTCTTTTTTTTGCCTAAGAAGTTGGGCTAGGATTCCTGACTTGGTTTCAGTCATGTATTTAGTCATGTAGGAAGAGTTCATTTTCCCTTCCCTTGCGAACCCTTAGCCTTTTGGCAGCCTAGGAACAACCATGAATTTTTGGCTGTGTTTTTGAGATAGAATTTTGAAATACTTTCAGGACCCTTGATGTGTTGCCATTATAAAAATGGGATCTTTTTATACCATTGCAAGCAGCACGCTCGTCATCATTTGTAAAATTTGTTTGTTGTGAAAATGTTCTCCCAGCTACTGTTCTGACAGAACTGAATTTGTTAAACAAAAATAGAAGCCAGTTTTATCAGATGCAGTTAAGCTTTGCATAAAATGATGCCTATGATTTGAAAATAGATGACCTTCTCCACTGTCTGCACAATACTGATGGTGGAGATAGCAAGGGAAAGTTTAAACAGTGGTGGTTGCAGCCCAAACCTTGTGTTTTGCTGCTGCTGTACTGAGAAATAACAGTCAAATTGAGCACCCTATCTATGAAAAGAAGAAATATTAACCATTAACAGCATCTCGTCTAGTTCTTTTGAAAAGAACTGAGAGAAAACTTGTAGATGAAGTGGGTATGTTTCCTGTAAAAGCATGACTGAGTTGACCTCACTCTCCTTGTCTGTTTTGTTTATTTGTTTTGAAACTTTACATTTTGAAGGAGGAGTGTTGCAGCTAGTCTGAGTCACTGGTCTTTTTCTTCTCTGGGAGGATTTCAGAGCTGCGGAGCTTAGCAGTCCTTTTCGCGTCTGGCTTGGCGGCGGCGCCCCACAGGTGACTGTTCTGCAGCAGCGCTGGGTGGCTGAGCAAGGCTGGCTGATTTAAAACCGACATGGGAAATGATGCTGCGTTTGGATTTAGAAGAGAGGGCTGTGCACGGCTCTGTGCTGATGAGAAGAAACTGCTCAGATGTTAGGGATTGGCAAGGAACATTAAGATCCATGCATCTGTACTCAGCAAGACATAGAAAGAAATGCGGTGGTTCATTTGAAAGCTGTTATTGTCAGGATCCCAGTGTTAAATGTATTTGTTTTTTTTAAGCTCTCATCTTGTTCCGAAGATGAGCCATCATCTTTTGTGTCTGGACTTGTGTCAGTTGTTTTCCCCAAGCCAGTCAAAATAGCTGTTTCGTGCTCTGGTTGTCCGTGTGAGTGGATGCTGTTCAATATGTTTTCCCATGGCTTTTTCAATTCCTGAAGTTAAAATGATGAGCGTACAATCAACGACGCTGGAATCTGCTCATTAAATGTGCTACATGAAAGGTGTCAGCATTACTAGTTCTGGAAATGGGAAAGGATAAAAAGAGCACACGTTTTACTGTTCCATAGTCATGTCAGTGCTTTGTAAAGGTGTGATACCACCTTATCTACAGATGGAAAAATTAAGCTAAAAGACAGTTACTGGCCTGCAACTATCAAGTGGGTCAGTGGTACAACTGGAAACTGAGGTTCTTCTGCATCTTGTTGAGCTGCGTGGTAGCCCTAGATCTTCAGATAAGAACCTTTTTAAAGGAGGACTGTTTAGCCTAGAAGCTTTCTTCTAACTGTTGGCTGAAAGGCACTGTACACCAGCTTCCAGTTTTGTAATAGCATTCCTTGGCACTAGCCTACCTCTGAATATATTCCATGTCTCGTACAATTGTAATTTGGGAACCTCTGGCAACAGCCAACGTACTTTGGTCTTCAATTACGCAAAATCTGTAAGAATCTTCTATGAAATGTCTTCACTTTTGAAATTGTAGGGGATTAATGTGTCTGGCTGGCAGCTGCTGCAGATGTTGAGCATTGCCCCTCGCTTTCCAGTTCTTCTCTGCCAGCGGAGGTGAAGAGAAGCCCATTGCTAGGGCCGATTGGGTGAAATTTCACATGAGAAATCAGTCAGGTGCCTTCACGGATTTGAGCCCCGGAGCTTGGCTTTTATTTTGTGTGAGAATCTCATGTAACTTTTTGATGTTTCACTTCAGCAGGCCGTAATGTTTTTCTTCTGGAGGGGTAAAACCAAGAAGAATAAGTAGCTATTGGCCTTTCAGGGTTTGGAAAACTACTTATACAGCAACTTCTGATGTATAGGGATGCAGGTTTGACCACAGGCTGCTGTGTGCATTTTTGGCAGGAGCCTTGCAACCAAGCCCGAATGAGTAGTGCTGTAAAGGATGAAGTTTTTGACAGGTTTCACAGACTGCAGATGAGAGTCCAGCTCAAGCAGGATTGCAGTGGGGAGGTGGGGTATGGAGCAGCCGCAGATGACTCGGGAGCGTTTGGGCCTTAGTTTCAAGGAAGTGCTGTGGGAGCGTGTGGGAGTATGGGGAGTGGAGCAGGAAGAGCAACCTTCCAGGCCTTAATATGAATGATTCACTTGTGTTAAGAAATGTCTTGTTGTTGTTGTCCCAACCCAGATATGAGTACCACTGGGCAGATGGGACAAACATAAAGAAACCAATTAAGTGCTCTGCACCAAAGTACATTGATTACCTGATGACTTGGGTCCAGGATCAGCTGGATGATGAAACGCTCTTTCCTTCTAAAATAGGTAAAGTAAATAACTAAAATTGAACAATGTATTTGGATTACAGTTGTACAGGAATATTCAAATCTTACAGCATTAAACGGTCGTCTAAATGACTGGTGAGTAGGGCAACTTGAAAAAATTACATTTTTTGAAAATATATATATATGTAAAAGCACTTTTATCTCTTAAGATAAAATTTATGTGGTAGTACATGAACTCTGATCCATGTGTTAATACTCTTAATAAACATCTGTCACGGTTCTGAATGCAGGAAGTACTGTGTTTCTACTTAATAACTGACTGTTGATCAAATCTGATGTGTTTTCATTTTGAACAGTGGGTTGTTTCCTCAGAAATAAGGCAGAGCATCTCAAAACTTATAACCAGTAATTGGTATAAGCTGGCAGCTTTTTGATGCAGGAAAGATGTTTGTTCCTTATGAGGAACTTCGCCCAGACCTTACCTCCAAAGAAGCTGAATTAGATCTTTGATCTCTAGTTATTTTTTATTTTTTTTCTTTTCAAGTGAGGATGCAAGATGTATGTTTTTAAGAGGTTTATTTCAGAATAGCAGGAGGAAAACAATGAACAACCAGCAGTTCAGAAACGATAGCAAGAAGAAAGCCCTGCTTCTAGAGGCATGAAGGACGATTTGGCCTCAAGCTCCTAATTGGCATTTTTCCAGTGCACCACTACACACAGGTTTATGATCCGTTGTGGAAAAAGGAGGGGAGATCTCTTAGTTGCTTTCATTTTGTGAATAGTTTCTGAAGCATTTGACACATTTTCAATAAGCCTCTTGAGAGAAACTGAGAGGTCAAAATCAAGTGGCATTTGTTTTTACTTACAGTTAAGCAGATAATGTGGAGAAGGCTGGTTAGTTTGGGAAGAGGTGACAAAAAGCTCTATTTTCCCCGCTCAGTGGATGTGAGCGTGGTTTCCTGGCATACTATGGCATTCGTTTTAGCGTTTCAGGGTAGAGTTCAGAGCTGGGGTAGAAGTCCACTTGCTAATAGGAATGATATTAAATAGAGGTTAGAGTTAATATTAAAGTTGCGTTTAAAAGATTACATCAGGACTTGATCATTCTTTAACTGCAGCGTGTACTTTGCTGAAGACTTTTTTTCTTTTAATAGGATGTATTTTGAAAGGTAGCGATTAAGAAAGAGACTTAAAGGCCACGGTGGGTAACCAGCTACGTATGAACTTCCCATGCGATGCAGCAGCCAGTGAAGCAAACGTAACGTGTGTGTAAGCAGGGACAGTTTAAGTAGGAGTATGAAAATTTTATTACTGGGGTTTTAAAGCATTGGTGCGATGATGATCGGCCTATAGCATCTAGCTTGGGCCTCTGGCCTTCAGGCAGGACTTCAGCAACTGGAAAGGCTGCACGAGAACTAAGCTAACTGGGAAAACTGCTATGTGATGAGAAGCTAACAGGTTTAATCTTTTGAGATGGTTGATACGTATCTTTTTTTAGCCTGCGGATGTGTCTCAACTAAAGAGATTATTACTCCCAGTAGCCCGTTGCTGTTTCCTAACCTATTTTAATAAAACTTGTGCACTGACAAAGATTTTCTGTTGAAACTGATTTTACATGTCCTGGGTCATTGTCACTGAAATGACTGAAAGGAGCATATTTCAGAGTACTTCAGCAGGCAGTTAAGAAAGCAGTAGCCTCTGGCTAAGGGATGGTGATGAGCACGATGGAGTCTTTTTGCTGCGCAGAGGACAAGCAGAAGAGAGCCTGTGCCCGATTCCGCTGTAGCCAAGGGAAGTGTAAACCTCCATGGCCTATACCAAAGGTGGTTTCAGTTACCTACACAAAGGTATCTGGTGTCGCTTGGAGCACCCTGTGGTGCCTTGGACACATGCGTAGAGCCACTGGTGAGACTCAGAGGCTGCCGATGATTTCCCCTTTTCTGCAGTGGCAGTCAGAGGCCAGGCAGGTACTGAGAAGACATAAAAGCGCATTAGATAACTGTGTGTGGATATCTGAATCCTACCAGCAGGGAGGAAGATTCTCGGTCAGAGGGAGGCATAACAAGATTTAGTAGCTGGAAGCTGAAGCTAGGAGGGTTCAGCATAGAAATGTAGTCAGATTTATCCTGGAAAAAGTTCATGAGCTGCTGGTGTACTGAAGGGAGGGAAACCTCCCCTCCGCTCTTTCTTGTTATCGTGCTTCAGCCTAAGAACATTGTGTGACTTACAGACCGAATAGCCGTATGAAACAGAGCGGCCTTTCTCGTGCAGCAGATCGGGTTGGGTTATAATGGCTCTCAAAATACATGAACATAGCATGGGCGTTTAAAAATAAGCCATATTGTCTTATTTCTAGGTGTACCGTTCCCAAAGAATTTCATGTCAGTGGCAAAGACAATTTTAAAGCGTCTCTTCAGAGTTTATGCTCACATTTATCACCAGCACTTTGATCCAGTGATCCAGCTACAGGAAGAAGCACACCTTAACACTTCTTTCAAGCACTTTATATTTTTTGTTCAGGTAAGTGTGGCAGGAGCACTATGTTTAGAACTATATTCTGGAAAAAGCAATGCATCAAAGTAATGCCCATTCAGTTTCTCAAGAGCTGGGTTGTTTGTAGGAGAGTTGACCCTTCCAGGACCCTAAGATAGTGTCTTAGCCCATTTGTATGTATATTTACTGCTAGAAGCAGTCAAAGAATGAAGTATTCTTGGACTACAAAATTGAATACCGAAAAGCGTTCCCTACCAAATAATTCCATAGAATGGGAATTCCTAACAGGAGAAGGCGGGAGGACAGCATCTGAAGCTAGGCTGAAAAGAGTGTGCTTGCTGCAAAGCTACGTGTTGTCCCGCGGCTTATTAAAAAAAGAGCATCTTATGTTTCCTTCCTTTAAGTGTGTGTGTGTGAGATGTAGGCGGTGGAACACTGCTATTCAGCTAACGGCAGACAGGCAGAAAATGCTGTAGTGGCTAAGGCTGGACTCAAAGAGCCTACTACCAAGTAACTTAGATCTGCGTAAGACTTCTCCCCTGAGCTGCACATAAAACTCTGTATGTATGTCTCTCTCCTCATCCTTGTTACAGGAATTCAACCTTATTGATAGAAGAGAACTCGCACCGCTTCAAGAACTGATTGAAAAACTCACCTCTAAGGACAGATAAAAGGAAGAGGATTTCTTGAAGTCACTTGTTTCTTTAGCGAGCGTGTGGTATTTGTTTTTTTGTTAATTTGTTTTTTTTAAAAAAAAGAAAAACAAAAACCTGTGCTGTTACTAATGACAGCCAAGATCTACTTTCTGTGCTTCTATTAGGGGAAATCTTTTATCTGTTAGTGACACGTGGTAAATAGCTTTTTTGTTCCTTTTTCTTTTTCTTTTTTTTTTTTTTTTGTGATTGTTATTCATTGTGGAATTTTGGCAGGTGCTGAGTGTTTATAAAGGAAACATGCTTGGTTGGGGGATTGACTCTGCTGGTGGATGGGTTCTTGTATTGTGTCAGTGGTAGCCCATTCTCATGAAGTCCCTAAAAGACTTGCTTACATTCTCTAAGTGCCTTGGCAGACTCACTTCTGAGGTGCAAAGCACATATAATACTGAACATTGCTGGAAACAGAAAATATGAACTAACACCCAGGACACTTACTGATACTTGTTTTAGAAAAAAATATATATGCTTACACTAAAAAAAGCCATAACTTACTGAAATCAATGATCTCCAGCTTTTAATACAAATATTTGTCTTATTTTTTTAGAGATTAATATAGAATTTTTCAAAAGTAGAGATTTCTTATAAAGAAAAGTGATGGTGAAGTTCTAGTGGCTAAAGTGAAATGATGAAGGTGGTGTCAAAATTACAAAGAACCTGTGCTTAGCGAGTAGTTATATGCCTGTTGCCATTGCTTTTGGTTTTCCATTCTTGCTTTTACTTTATTTAACAGGGAAGTGTCAACTTGTGTTGGTCACTTCAGTTAAGTTTCCTTGCATTTGCCAAATGAATGATCAGTTTGCACAAATACAGTTAGGGAAATATTGAATATTAAAAAAAAAAAAAAAAAGCACTGGGGTAATACTAAGAAAAATCTGCCTTGAAAGATTGAAAAATAACTGCTGAAATGATGTTTGTAAGTTACGAAGAAAAAGCCTGGCTCTGTGGAGGAGCTCTGGTGGCCAGTGTTTTCTGTGGTAGGAAATGTATCTTGGAGACAGTGTAATTTCATGGACCACTTCGGATTTAAGTCAGCATGGTGATGTTCTGCCCCATTTAAAATTGCAGTCCATCTCCAATTCTCCCATCTGTCTACAGCAGTTGGCAGAAGTAACAGGAGCACACTGGTGAATTTGTAGTGGTTTGTAATTTGCTAAGTGCATCTTCTGTTTCTGAGAAAACCTAAACAAAATGTGGCCTTCCCCCACCTGGGTCAAAGTAGACTTGCCTCTCTAGCCTTGTGTTACTTCAAACTAGACATGAGAATCGCCTGTGAGAAGTCAACCTCTGAGGTGAATGAGGTTCTGCAACGCGCTATCCTACGATATCACTAGTTGCCAAACAGGGTACACTAGGTGGCTAACATTGCCAGGCTTTGCTAGCTTGCGACTCTGCAAAACCACTATTTTTAGACCTGAATAACGTGAAGCCCTTAACTGACTGGTGTACGCTAGACTGACTCTTGAACTCCTAAAATTTACAGGTGAAGCCAAGGTTAGCATGTGCATGACAGAAAAGTTGAGATTACATCTTCTGCGCCTTTGCTTGACTGAAAATGCTGAGTAAAGTGGAAAATACTGTGCAGCAGCCATTAGTAAGGGGCCATTAGTGTAGCCAGCTAATACACGTCTAAGCACAGTAATAAACATAGATGCATTTGGGAGACTAGAATCAGTACTTCTGGGTTAGAATGATGTATTTCAGAAGCATCTGAAGGCTATTTTAAGAACTTCATTATCTTCAATGGAGTTAAATTTTCCTAGTCTGTTTAAACTGCTTCCTGGAGAAGCAACTGAACATTTTGTTACCTCTTATTTCTGTCTGCCTGTCTTCCCTGCCCCAAACAAACTTGAGAACAACTGAGAGAACCTAGTATTGAGCTAGAAACTGTCATTGTGTACTTCTTTCACTGCTGCTTATTTAGAAATGGAAATGTGGAGTGTTGTGTAGTGAAGAACGGTCATACAGTACTGTTTATACTGAATTTAGGTTTGGCGACACCAGTGTTAAAAAGAGAGGCTGCTGCTTGCAAAACACCAGCAGTTTAGCATTGGTAATCCAGGCAGTCCTCGGTTTCATTTGGAGCTTCATTACAGTTCAAGAAAACATAGAATGTGTTTGGCTCCTTTGCAGATCAATGTCATTGTGCATTGTAACCTGCTCAAAGGACAAGTGAAGTTTTCAGTTATCCTAATGTTTTGGCTTTTTTTAATGTCCTATGGAATTACCAAGTTGTCTTAATGTATGTATGTCAGAGGAAAGGACTTCTATATTGTGTTTTTCTTAACACCGAGTGTTGGGATTGGATTGAGACAAGCTGACGATGCCAAGGGACCTTTCCCTCAAATGTTTTAACAAACTCCTAGTTTAAAAAAGGTGGAGTGAGGTGTTATCTCTTCTCAGCCAGTACGGATCTGGACTCTCCCGTGTGTGTACACGTGTGTGGGAGGAAAAGAGGGGAGATAGTCAATGTCTGTTACCTCTTCAGGGAGTAGGGGGTTGGAAAAATATGTGCGAGGCATAAGAAAATCAGAGGAAAAAGCAAAGAAGCAGCACAAGCACAATTTCCTTTCCTTTGGCAAGTCACCTATGACGGCGGCATTCACCCCAATGCTTTTGTCAGTCCTGCTGTTTGTAGGACATATCTGGTCTGGCAAACATTGCATGCCGTTCTGCTGGCCAGCGCAAGAGTCAGCACCGTAGCACCGAAATGCTGCTATCTGGAGTCAAGTAATGGGCTGATAAGAGAGAAGGGGCTCCCCTGGGCAGAATATCCCATGTGTTGGACTGGGCAAGTACCGTCCTGTTGAACAGTTGGAGAAAAAGCATTTCTTTGGTATGCGCTATCCTTTTTATGTGCCGGATGGTACGTTTGACGAGGTAGTGGGGAACGCAGTTCTTGTACGGGCTGTGTGCATCATTTGTGATGTCTTTGCGGCTGCAGGATTGTTTTTAACGGAGTAGCATACCTGACTTCTGATGCGGCCATGACTACGTAAGCCTGGTTTGGGAGCAGTAGGATGGCAGTGCTAGCTGCAGGTGCAGGGTTGGAGGGCTCCCATAGTTCAGGACTGAATAACGCAGAAGACTATGTCATCTTTTGAGAGTTACGGGAGAGGTCAGCGTCCGCCTGACTATGCAAAAGCAGCTTAACTCCCACATTTGAACTGCACGATTTTAAACAGACTCTAGCCCTGCAGGAAGCTGAATTTAAGAACATGATCTTAACACACACAGGTCCTAATGCGTGCTTCTATCTGAGGAGAGTTTAATGACTGAAAATTCCCAGCTACAGAGGCGTGAAGAGCGCTGCAGGTGCACTTTGATATTCAAAATCCTGTTTTTCAGTGAAAACCGTGTTTCTGAGTTGAGTCAGTGCTGCTCAGGCGGCTGTGTGTGCATGTTCACTGGGCTGATAGTGCTTATGGGAGAGGAGCCTTCTAACTGGTGCTTTTAACCAAGACACGAGAGTGGGAACGGCAGAAGCCTGCTCCAAGGTGCTAAGTAGGAGATATCCTGCATTAGATTGAAAGCTGTCGCAGTGATTTTGTGTCATGTACCAGCAAGAAACCCAAAAATATTTAAAGTGACGATTTACTTGGAGTCATATATACCAGTGCAGTAGTTCTAATTTTTGGCATACTTCTGCTCTGGAAGGTTGGGGGTTTTTTGTTGTTGTTTATTTTAAATAGCCTACTTGAGAAACTCAGAGGCATCTGCTGCAGTTCAGCCAATCAGAATTAGAAGGTATTATGTAAAAAAAATTAGTCTTACATGGATAGTGTATTTTTTTTATTTAGTATCTGGTAGTAGAAAGAACTTTGTTACAGACTAGTTTCTAGGCATGTAATAAAAGCTTGGAGATCATGATTTGCCTGACAGCTGTATGAACACATTGTTTAATTACCACTTGAAAATAACAACATTGAAGATACGTATGCAGTGTTTGGGATTTAGTATCCCTGTGCTGTTTATATTAGCAGCTTTTAATTGTTTTTTGCTTCAAAAAGATGTGGGACCAGAAGCTGATGTGTGTTTACGCTCTTGAAGGAAGTAAGGGCATGTGGAAATGCTAAACACAAGTTGCCATGCTGTACAAATGGAATACCAGTGAATGTGTTTATAAAATAGTGCATTTGTCAGGGGGAAGGGGGAGGACACCCCCTCGCCTCCCAAATAAAACCCAGAGGAATGAACCCCGAACCAAGCCCGCGCTGCTCCAGGAGCACGTTACAATATGTGTCATGAGCACCTTGAGACAAAAACTTTCCGCTTTGTTGTCGTCGGGAGCAGAAGGTGCTGGTGGGGTTAAACCAGGCTGGGCAGCCAGTGTAGTAGGGTCCTTAAATTCTACGGTTTGTGGTGTTTTTCAGCTACCAGCATTACTAGACCCTGTCAGTGATTTGGGTGGTAACTTCAGGAGGTCATCTACCTCGAGACGGGATGGGACAAACTCTGCTAAGTTTATCAAGTTCAGCCACCGTTGCCAATGTTGACGCTGTTTAGATGGCGTGGATACGTTTGCAGAAATAATTTTTTGAGTCGTTCAGATCCAAGTCAGGGATACGAGTTAATCATGCAAATAGAAAATAAAAATGCCACATTGTGCTGTTGCAGGTAGCTGAATGGTAGATGAAGGGAGAAAACAGGTTTCAAGGGGCAGGTGGCCCGCCTGCAAGTATCGAGCTTCTTTTACTGCTTACTATGCAATGTAGAGCTTTGAACTTTTGCTTTTACTTTAAGATATAGAGGAGCACTGTCCTTACTTAGTATTTAGGAACTGAACACTCTCCCAGTGTCCCTGACACTTGCGTAACAGGTAAGGATACCTATTTGCTGCTATGGACTTTACTTACCTTTCAGATTGTTCCTTTCTCTGCCTGCCGCCTCACCCCCCCTTCTCCCCACCCCCCCTCCCCAATCGTCAGACACAATTTTACTGTAAACACATCCTTTTCACATAGTTGTTCTTTTTCTTGCTACCCTGTCCCCCCCTTACTCCCTGCCAGAGTGCTGTATTACTGTATATAAACTGCCCTTTTTTAGCTGGGCTATTAAAAAAGCTGCAGCACGAACACCAACTCCTTGCTTCTGTTTCAGTAAAAGATTCCCTGTTACACTGAATCTTGTTTTCTTCACTGCTGATATCAGTTGTCTTTTTTCCAAACTGCACTACTAAAACCACTAGCAGTTTTATGGATGCCTGTCGTCTTTTCCTGGACATCTTCTCCTTTAAGATGAGGCTAACATTGGTTATTTTAAGTGTTAAACCTTTTTATTTTCCCGCTTTTCTTAAAATTTCCTCTTGCAAGGTTAAGATTGCAGTCTAGTATATCAAATTACATTTTTGTTTGAAGAACCAATTCCCTAAATTGTTCATAGAGTATTGTATTTTTAGGGGAAATTAATTTTTATAGCCACTAAACTATACTCATTATTTTTGTACATTTGCAACTTCTGACATTTTTCAGAGACATGTCGCG